TTAATGATGTACACATAAATTCAATGAAATTATTATTATTTCTTTTTAATTTATACGTTAAATTGGAAATCGTTTAATATTACTTTTTTCGATACTTTCATGATGTAAGGATAGGTTTAATTACAAGATTTCAATTGACTATATCATACAGAAAATTATAAAAATAGAACATTTTTTATTTCAGTTATTATGTTCTCAGAGATTTATATATATTTACTTAATAAAGTGTTTGTAATAATCTTCAGATTTATGGTATTGGAATAGTTTCAAATCTGCTAGCTAAGCAAAATGTAATTTATAAGTTTTTTTCAGTGTGTAGCTGTACCTCCGACTGGGGCACATTTAGTAGTGGTTTCTTGATCATTTCGGTTGCCTCCTATGTGCAATGCAATTTCTAAAACGTGATTCGTGCAGAGACAAAATGCCGCACTCCACTCCCCCAAAAGCCTCCAAAATCCCCCCAAAACCCCCCAAAAATCCAGTCGATCCACCACCCGATCTTCAGTAGAGCACAACAAAAGACCATTAATATAATTTGTGTCTAGAGTTATTTTTCGCCGCTTTTCGCATTTCGTCCTAAACGATTATGAGCTCCAACTCGGAGGCAACTTGATGTTGGGGAAACATGCCACAGTTTTTCCATATCGCATTGTTGTTATTTCCATATTTTTTGGCTGACGGGGTCACCGTCTGAGCGTCTTACTCCCAAATAGATCAAATGGAAACCGCTGATCGTGTCGCCGCCGTCGATCGATTGCCATTTTGTGTGGGGCTTTTCCTCTTATTTACTCTTATTTACAGAATTGTCTACAACGTTTATTGGCTGGCGCTTAATTTTTATTAGCGCGCAATCGAAATGAGTTTTCCATGGGAACAAATCGATCGGTAGTCCCAAAGGGGTTGGCGTGCTGACAGCCCGATAAATTTGAGTTAGGTTTCCTTTCTTCCGAATCTGCTGGATGGCTGCAAATGGTCACAAAAGTGTGGGCGGACTCAATTGGGGCAATAAAAGTTATGGTCTCAATGTGATGATTCAATCGAGATGGCGAATGTTTGGCTTAAAAGGCAATACTATCAATAAACAATTGGATGAGTTTATTGCAACCTTTATTAAAATTTAATTTAAAATGTAATAAATTACATTTAAAATGTTAAATAAAATAGCTCTTCTGTTTGGGACTTCTTTTGTAGTCTTAAATATCTTAATATACTTTTTGAATGACATATTTAAGTTGTAGTTGCAATCTATTCTACGACTTATAAAACTATAAATTTTTTATACATTTTTGTTAAAATTGCCTTGAAAAAAGGGGCTGACTAATTCAATACTAACATTCTTCACTTTGTTTTAACCCGCGATTAAAACTTGTAATCCCTTTCCAGTTAAAGAAGTATTAATTTAATCATTGTTAGAATAAAATTAAGCAATCCAAGTAAAATATACTTTATTTTATTCTAATAATTTTAAATGAATTAGGGAAGTATTCACCGAAAAGGGATTACAATTTAATAGCGGGTTAATAATATAACCAGAGGATCAAAGCAAAGCAATAGTTTCATTCAATTCAAAGCTCTTCTGTATTTCAATTCCACATAATTCAACTTAATTCTAGCCCGTATTTCTAATTTACTTCATTGACATAGGATCTGTGTGAGTAATCGCGGCTTCGGTCCTTCCTTCTGGTTAATATTTTACTGGCAGCGTTCAGAGAACACTTAAAACCCGCTTCGGCCGACAATCTTCGATGCGGGAATGGCGACAACAAATCAGCGCGGATCGGTGTGCGATCTTGCGGTTGCCCGGCTATAAACTAAGTGACCACCTGCGAGTCGGTCGGCGGCATAAAGCAAACTCTTTATGGGCCGCTATGTTCCACGGTGACATCGACATCTCGATGGGAAGCCATCCGTGGAGGAGATGGTCCTGCACATCGGCGTTCTCGTTTGATGATAATGAAGATCTTCCCCAGAATGTTCTCACTTTTCGAGATACACAGGAAAAATATTCAAGGTTTTTAACTTAAGAAAAAACAATTTCACAAGATGATCTAAGAACATTTGTTAATATCAAAATAAATTAGAATATAATATTATTTAAAGGGACTTCTTAATCCTCATGATTTCATTTGCTTGTTTAAAGAATTGTAACCACTGATGAGAATGATAAATATATGATATGATATATATTTATAGCAACGATTTTTTATTCGGTTTTAGAAATAGATAAAAAACAATGATGTATACTACTGAATATAACAGATATTCGTTACTTGGGACTTTAAAAAAAATATGATATCAAATATCTAGTATTAACATATGCATTGTATATTTTTACCCGGTACTTTTTAAGCCTACAAATAATAGAATTAAAACGATTTTGAGATGGAAAACAATAAGAATGATTGCTTCTTTTAATTTTTTTTTTGCCTGTGTCGAGGGATAAAGTCGACTTATGTCTAATGATGGAAAAAAATCGACATATTTTAGCGATTTCAAAAAAAGGCGACCACACAGCCGTTGGATTTGCTGGAGCCGGAGAAAGAGAGAGTGAGAACCCAAGATCTGGACTTGCAACCTGAGCGCACTTTCATTTTCAGCTGCCCGCCGCATAATTAATTGCGACCGAAAGTGGACGACGATTTTTCGTGGCGGCAGAAAGTAAAAAAGCACTCCGCTCCTCAATCGAAGGAACAACGAACCTGTAGCGACCACTAAACCGGATCAAAACGGCTGGATTTCGTACCCCGAGCAACTTTCTTCTTGCGGCTTCTGACACACTAAACTGACGCAACGCACCGTGTGGCAAGTGCGGCAAGTGTCTGCGGCCCCTCGATCCGCATTCCCTCCTTTCCCCAGCCCAAAAAAAAAAAAAAATAAACGATCTTGCAACGCCCACGAGAAGTCCAAGGAGGCAGCTTCCTGGACTGCCAGAAATTCCACTTGAGTGGCTGGGCAAAAAGGAAAATGAAGCATGTGGGCGATGACAAAAAGGGATCTGGGGGCACATGCCTCATTCACACACTGCAGATGCTCAGGATACCCTCTAATTGGGGTACCATCGATACATAATATATTAATTGGGGATTTTACTATCATGAAAATACCTATGCTACTTTATATCATTACTAAATTCAATTCCTTTTATATCACATTTAATGTTTGCTTCAAAAATGGATGAGTATGAAATAGGTTTATATTTCCGGTTGAAAAATTGATTTACCTTTAAAAATAATATTACTAATGAGGTTCAACTGCATTATATTTGAAAACATGAGCTTATAAACATTCATAGACATACAATTTATGCAATTTAAAGTTGATCAATTAATGAAATTCTGACTTTTATATTTTTAGGAAGAATTTCTTTTATTAGGATTTGGTAGTAAAAACAATAAAATAAAAGCACTACGTCTCTATCAGCGAATATTTTACGTCGGAGAAGATCTTCTGAATATTTTATCAAAAATCTTTCAACACAGTTCGTTTTTAATGGGTAAAGTCAATGTTGCAATGGTTTAATGCCTTCAAAATTTTGCGGCAAGGAGTGTTGCAAATGCCGAACCTAAACAACAACCCAAACTCAGGCCCAAAAGCAAAACCGAAACCGAAACCAAAACCAAACAGAAAATCCGATCGACAGAACCAGTTTAATGGCACATGAAATTTCACCGAAAAGTCCGTGAATCTTCAGGCCTAGCTGCCCACTAAAAGCAGGGGGCAGGGGGCGGATGGGGGGCGTGGCAAGTTGATTTGCTTAAAAAGAAATTCACTTTCCTTCGACGGTTTTACTTTTTCAAATTTTCTGTGCGAATGTTTGCCGTTTCTGGATTTTCCTTTGGTTCGACTTGCGGCGAGTCACTCTGTGCACGTTGAATAATTTTGATATTTTACTGATGATCGTTAGTATGACTTTTATAAAGCTGAAATATAAAATAATCATAATAATAAATTTTGCAGTAATATTTTCCAATAAGCATTTGGGTGTCGTTGAACAATATTATTTTAATAAACCAAAAAACTTAAGAGGAAATTTTAATAAGAGAACAAATTTATAGAAACTATATACTATCACTAATGTATTAAAAGTGGCTCAAAAGTTCATAAATTGTCTTTCATTTTGCCCAAATAAAATATACAATAGATACAATTTTGTTAGTTTAAAATCTAAAGAGTTTGGGTAATAAAGTGATCTAATAATAAGATTTAATTTTCCAATTGTAAAGCTTACAAATGAACTCCTTTTTTTGTGTGTACCTCGGCGCTCCTCATGGGCAAAGAAGGCAAAGAAGGTCACGGTGTGTTGTAGATCATGAGGATTGGATGCGATGCAAGGCCCAGAGACTGCAGGAGGTGGTCAAAGTCAAGTCGCAGGCTCAAACTAGGCATGGGAGTCCACTCCAAAAGACCCACAAAGTCCACAATTGAATGCATTTGCAATGAGCGCAAAAATACTTTTAATGAAAGTTGGCACTTTGCTTTTTGGGTTTCCTCGGCTTGTTTTGGTTTTTCGGTTTTTCTCGCCATTTGGTTTTGTTTGTATGTTTCTTTTAGCATTTTGATTTGTGGCAGGCAGCCGTGGAAAATGGTGCTGTCGGAGGAGCATTTCCACAGGAGCTCTCGGTTTGGCTTGGAGCAGAGGTGTTTCGGCCAGCTAATTGGATGTGGACAATGGATGGTTTATTGTCTGTGCTGCCGGTGCGGATCCTTAATTGGTGGGCAGACATCAAAGCGGATCTATTTGTGGGCTGCAAAGTAAATCAAGTCAGCTAAATCACAACCTGAGCAGACAAAAATGATTTAATAAGACGTCTTCACTTTCACTATCGACGAGGGTGACATTTTATGATGGTCATAAACAGAGTGGTTAGAAAAAACGTTATTGTTCAGTATTTAAGTGGATTTTTTTTAACCACTCCCTAAAAAATAAACACGATTAAACTGTCAATCATAGTAATTCATTAAACTCTTAAACAATTTATAGCCTTTGTAAAATTGGCAGATTGCTTTAACGATTCAATTCGTAATTTTATTATTTTATGGTTGTGATAATTAATTCCACGCTGTTGCAATAAATCCAGTGAAATATGTAATGGGTAATCTATTTTTCTATAATTTAATAGGCCATTTGAAAGCGTTGCTTTTCTGGGTTTTAAATGTGGAGGCCCCAGTAAAAGAATCCCTCAGAAGTCACCGTTTAAGAATGCGTTTTGTATGGTTCAGGTTCTACTTTTTCTTTTCTTCCTTCTTGTCCTTGTCCTTCTTGTCCTTTTCCGAGTCCTTTTCCTCCTGCGGCTCCGGTGGCGATGGCTCCTCATTCTGCTCCTCTTCCAAGGGCGGCAGTCCCAGGTGCATCCTGGACCAGCGGGGCATGTTGAAGAGGCACCAGTAGGGAATGATCATCATGATGGCCATCGATCCACAGCCGATGATCAAACGCTGGGCGGAACTCATCGGAAATCGGGGTGGACCGGCCATGGGTATGTAGCTGCGATCCAAAGGAGATCGGTGCCTAAGAACGCCCATCTGGGACAGGTGTTTCCGCACCAAAGTGATACTCATGTTTAGTCCTATAATTTGGTAATGAAAGGATATTATTTGGAAATTAAAAGTTTGAATTACGTAATTTATTCGGTCATTTTATTGTAATAATATGATATTTTATTTTAAATAGTAAAATTATGGAAAGAGAAACCATTAATCAGGAATACCTAATTGTAATATTAAGAATGGATATAATTTTTTTAGCACATAAATAAATAAACTCTTTGCCCACACAATTGGATTTGAACCGATTTTAAGACTTTGAACTTACCAAAGATGTTAACGACTGTGTGGATCAAAAGAAAATGGCAAAAAAAAACAAAGAAAAATTAATATGACAGCTAACTTGCAAGTACGGAAGACCCACAGCCTGCTGAAAGCTGAGAGAAAACATAAATAAGGAAACAATCGAAAGACTGGGTTCATAAACAAAGGTTAAATAGGCATTAAAAATGCTAATGAAAGATATTCAATTCGAATCTGCAGAGGGAGCAATCAAAAAGAGATGTGAAATTTTAATTTGGAATTCCGTGCGCAGGCAATTGTTGAGATGGATGGGATTATTACATAAAATGAGCGATGAACTGGGCGAATGCTTTTGGATTAGTGCGAAAATCTCCGATGCGATGGCTTTTTTACGGCACAACGATCTTTGTGTGTCTAATACCCAACACAAATTGTTGCAAACATAATAAATAAACACCAATATAAACAGAAAAGTTGGTACTTATTTATTTGTATTTTAAATAAACATTATTCGAAGACTTTGGGAATTCGAATGGAGCATTTGCTCTTAATGTTAAATTCAGATGACGGTGAAAAAATAAAATTAAAATAGTTATTAGCAATTAATACTTTCACCCTTTTCGCAAATACAAAATTATTGATAGCAAAGTAACGTTTGGGTAAGGTAATTATATAGTTTTCGAGACATATTAAGTTACGAAAAAGAAAATTACTGTGTTTGTGTTGATAAATTAATAAATATAGAAAAAAATGTATTTGCAAATATGACGGGCGAATTAACGAAGTAAGGGTTGGCCTCGATTGTTATTAAATTAATTTTTAAATGTAACTAAACAAATTTTAAATAACGCGGCAAATAAATAGGGTAGTCAATACGTGTTAAATATGTACGTTAATATGTATTAGCAAATATCCACACCAAGACTGGGTTGCGGTCTGTGGTAGTACATAGTCAGAAGCTAATAGATATAACACATTTGGTTTAGTTCAAAAAATAGCCGTCCGAAAAAAACTTAAAAAACGTTTGCTTTTTCGTCCTTGAAATATATTTATTGTTTTATTATTTAAATTTATAAAAAAAAAATTGGATCTGGAATTATATTCATTACATAGCATATTGACATATTGGTGGAATTTTACTGAAGTACCCAATAGCATATGCTTAAATATGTAAACCCAAATATGTAAGCTCTTGTGGACGTATATTTTTGAGCGATTAGTTTAAAATTAATATTAATCAAAAATATTTATTTAATATTTTGGTCGTTAACAATTTAACGACAGCTTTGAAATAGGGCAAGCATTTCATTCCTCTACCTCTAAAATATATATAAATGAAAAATGTAAAAAAATATTAAGTAAATTTGTAAGCGACATAAATCTTCAATTAACCCATTGCACCCTGAATCCGATTTATTTGAAATCCTTTGTATATGGCACCCACGGCCTTTTGTCATGTTCTTTAGGATTTCATTTAATTTCACCGTTGTTGTTCTTTTTTTGGCTGTTTTGCTTTGGCAATATTTTTCAAGTTTCTTTTAACACACTTTTCGTCGCTTAAGCTACGACAAATATTTTGATAGATGAGCTTAAGCACTCACCGAAGCCGTCGTTGATATTTGAAACTGGGACCGGCTCCGCTTTGAGTTTGCTTACAAGTGGCCGTTTCGCCTTTTTCCACCTACCACCCCCCATATCCACCCACTCCCGCAGGTTTTCCAAATTTTCCCCCTTATCATCCGCCCCCGCATGTCCTGCGCCAGATCTTCTTTTCGGTGTTGTGTTTGCTCTTTGTGCGGCAAAAGCAGAGGCAGATGAAGTTTCGAGTGCAAGTTTTTAAGCGAGTTTTGTGCGAGAGTTCCGCTTTAAAGATTTAAGAGGAAATGCAAGGTGTTTGCGGGAAAGTTCTTTCTCAGGCAAATTTCCTGTTTGAGTGTGCGATTTCAGGGAAATAGGATTAATGAAGCGTTCATCGTGTGTCAGGAGAATGAGGAAGACTGTAAGTAAAAGGAACTTTTTTGGCAAATACTTTATGAAGAGATTCATAACTTAACATCTGGCAAGAAGCTCCCCTTTTAGTTTTGCTTTAAAGTATTATTTCATATTCCTCCAACATGCTGAAAATTATACGAATTTAGACGCATAATAACTTTCAATCTATCTTATTAAATTTAATTGAAATCTATTACTAAGACAATTGTGGCAACAACTAAATGTCGTAATCAATTTTAAACAAACATTTTCTACATTAAAATTATATAAATTTTTAAAAATTTAAGATGATAAAGAAGTAAATTTGTAAGACAGTTTTGACACAATATAATACATTTTAGTTAAAACTTTTTCAGTTAAATATTTTATATATATATGTGTTAGTTTTATTTGATTACCTAGTAAATATTTATACCTTTTCAAGTGTTTGAAAAAATAAATTAAAAATAATTACTAGTTTTCCCATTTCTCTGTGCTTTCCAACTCCCATAAACTTGGGCAACTAGAGAAAAGTGGGACAAAAACTACACCAATAACAAAGAAATCTGGAACAGAGGGAACAGTATAAAGCGAGATAAGTTTTCAAGCCGGAAAATTACACAACTTACCCGAGGGGCGAGTGAAATACGAGGGGACGACGCTGAGGCCAGGGATCAAGCAGCAAAACAGGGCCTAAGAATATTTACGATTAGACGCAGGACTCGCATTCAGACAACATTGTGAAGGACTCATGCATATGTATGTATAATATGCATTACGTGCATGTGTGTGTGTGTGTGTGTACGGGCGGAAGTGGAAGTGAAAATGGCACACGCAGTGTCCTCCAACTAAGTCCCCTTTCCATTTGGATCGCTGCCAGCTTGTGTCCACGTGTATGGGTGTCTATGGGTGTGTATGTGGGTGTGTGTGGGTGTGCGACGGTGTGTGCCAGTGGTAGTGTGTGATGAGCAGAGGACAGTCCTGAGTCCTGCTGACACTTGAGTGGAGACAGACAACCACTTGACTGCTGACTCGCCCCGAACCCGAACAGAAAGGACAACAACGGAAAAGGAAAGCCATGGATATTAGAGTGGGGGCAGCTAAGAGGTTCTACAGCTGCGGTTGAATTAATATCAGTGGGTTTTTAAATTCAATTTATATCATCACTTATATGTAAGAAAACTAAAAAATGTTCCTTAAAGTTTGCAAGCTAAATTACTGACTTATTCAGAAATACATTTCATACATTTATTCAAATTTAAACTGTTTTTTATAGATAAACATATATGTTTATATAAAATTTATTCTTTAAAAATAGAAAGTAGAACGCTTAATATCGTTTACAAATCTATATATGACATGACAAATACAAATTCTATAAGAATTCCACACAAAACCAAAAATATTGATAACGAAAATAACCAAGGATCGAATGTTGTTAGTTTGGTATATGATTTAACGGGTAAACTACTGATCATTACAGCTATATTCTCAAAACAATAATATAATTAATTATAATATAATTATTTTTTATCTTTAAACAGTAAGTCTATGCTATTCTCTTGACTGCCACAGTTCATGGAGTAAGTCATGGCATATCCTTGTGCGGAGGACATTAATGTGCGTAACTTGGACAATTACCACAATGAAAATGACTAAGAAGGAAGTTCGGCGAGGGGTTGGGAAATATAGTTTTAGGAACAGCAGGATTTAGTGCACAAATATTTGCAATAAGCGCAGACTGGGAAAAAGAATAGGATATGGCCGTTCAAGCTGCAACCGCAGCAGATCAAGGACACAACAATAAAAATGAGAATGAAATCCAATGGTAAATATGATGGGAGCCCGATGAATGGGAGACTCTATTGAAAGCTCACATCCTCCACTCGCTTACTACTGCTGCTCATGCCTGTAATTACATGGGGATTTAAGTGCTCTGGGATTGCAGTTGTTATTTTCGTTTTCGTGGTAACAATGCGAAAAGTCCTTCCCAGCCAAACACAGTGAAAGAGGGGAAAGAGGGAAAAGAGCGACAAATAAAGTAAACTAAACTCGCATCAAATGTGATTTGAGGCGATGAAGTGAAGGTACATATCGGTCTTAATTGAAAGTTTAAGCCCAGTGTTCGTGTTGCAGCTCAGGTTTCGTTCAGGTGGATCGTGTTTTTTTTGGGCTTATGCTCTCGAAAACATTTTTTTGTTTTAGCTACATGAAAACGTGAAATATTCTGGATTACAGTAAAACGTTCCGTTTTCGAATATATCCTGTGGCCATTTTTGTTGATTTATGTAGCTACAGTTTTGTTTTAAAAAAGGTTTCGTTTACCATTTTAGCTGAGTTTCATATTTAATAAACAGTTTGATCATTTTTATAAAACTTTGTTCCTTTACAGCTAAGTAAACTCATAAATATATTAAACTTAATTTAGAATACCTTTTTTAGTTTATAGTTTATAATAATTTAATATATTGATAAGAAAGGTTTGGTGAGTAAACTTAAGTTGGCTGAAATTTTGTGGAAAGTGCCAAACGTTTTTTTTAGTTTAAATATTTTTGTATTTAAGTACATTTTCTGAATAACCCAACCAACTGAGCAAATATTCTTAAACAAGTTCTCCAAATAGGTGCACATCAGTGCCTTTTACCTTTCGGCTATTTATGGTTCGTGTTGCCCAACTATTTGCTCATTTCGCACCCATAATTTTTTGCCGCTTTCCCTCACTCATTTGGCAATTGTCTCTTACATGTAAATATGGCCCGGACCTTCATGCACCAACGCCTGGGATCATGTTACCAACCCGAAATGGGTTAGCCCAAAGGCAGCAACACTTAATTTTTTTTACTGCTGCTGTTGTTCTGCGTTATGTTGGTGGGTTGTGGGTGGCGAATGGTGGATGGTGGTTGTTGGGGTGTTGGTGAGTTCTCAACCTTCGCCCAGGGGTATGCAACAGCTTGTGTTAATCACTTGCCCAAAAGGCCTTAATGAGCACCACAACTACAACAAAAAAGAAAAAACGGGATATAATGAAGGCGTCCAGTTTTCAGACTATAATTTACCCAATGTTCTGACGAGCTTATCAGGCATAAATCAGTTGTGGCTTAAAATCTCTTTAAAGGCTGCCGCAAAGTATGCTGTGTAAAATGAATTGCA